CTACATAATAAATAATAATTTGGCATTCAAAATCATCATCTGATTTTGTGTCGAATGAGAGACCCACCGTTGGTTTCAGTTTCGTTTTAGCCATGAATTAGTTTTGGCTTGTCGTTTATATTGCTATAGCTTCTTATATTTTTAATTCTTGTTCTTTTCAAAATACTGTTAATTGAAAGGATTTGTTGTGGAGTGAGGGGAACTAAAATAGCCTAGCTATGTTTACAGTGTTTATTATAATGTTTGTAAACATTTTGCGTTGGCATTATGTCTATTTCTGAATGAAATAAAAAAAATGCCACTTATGTTTTTTTTCCCCCTAAAAAACAATTTTTTTTATACGCGTAGCGTATATTATCCATGCAGCAAACCTTTTCAAATATTTTAATAAATTACTGAAAAAATAAATAAATGACTTTTTAAACCGTTTAACTCATTGTATTAATCGGTCAAAATTCTTACGGTCGGTTAACCGGTTAAAATGAACATCCCTACTTCAAGCTCATTAGTTTTTGTTGAAATTACTTGTCTAAAAGTCTGAAACTATTAGTGAAAAGGTTGCATTTGTTTTTCTAATTGAAAGAGAGTAACTGCACACTCACTTAAGCATAGGCTATTTATTATACAACGTTTCGGCTTGTAGCCTTTGTCAAGGTATGCATTTGTCTTTCTGCAATACCTGAAGATCCAGATGTTATCCAGCATGGTTTATACCAAATATATATATTTTATTTTTTTCTTAGAGCATTGACTTGGTCTTGTGTACAGTGATGTTTGAAATATCATCAGTTTCATTGAAATATTTCAAAAAATTTAAATATTTTTTCATTATACATTTTATTTTTTTAAACAGTTGTTTGATCCCTGAAGTATTTCACTTTATTAACTGAATGTATAATCATTATAGTTCAATGCTGTAATGTCAATTTTATCAGACTTAAGATGCATTACAGTAGAATTCCAAGCTTTTTCTAACTTTTATCTAACTTAAAATATTCAATTTAAGTACCCGCTGAAATTTTTTATTATTATTTAAATAATTTAACAATACATTTGAACAATTCATGTTCACAGTTCTTTGATGTTGGTTATTGGTCACATATGCAAGTAAACAAAGTGTTCTTTTATCAGTATGTGTTTTATTTTGTACTTGAATGGTGTGTTTCCTGCTTGTGGTGCTCACAGGATATGGTGAAAGAGGTGAGCAGAGCTCTGAGAGGCGGCATTCAGGATGAGGTTCTCAGCGAGGGCTTCCGCCTCACCATCACCAGAAAAGACCTGCAGACGCTCAACCACCTCAACTGGCTCAACGATGAGGTCAGAGCTTTATTACGTCATTCAGGTTTCTGAACAAGCATGTCAGTAAATGGATTCTGAAAAGAGTCCCTCTTTAATCATTTTGTGTGAGGTGTTGCCATAATTATCAGTTGGTCAATGATTTGAGTGCCTGACTGATATATTTCCTCCATTTCAGGTTATTAATTTCTACATGAACCTGCTGGTGGAGCGCAGTAAACAGCCCAACCTGCCCTCCGCTTACACCTTCAACACCTTCTTCTTTCCCAAGCTGCGGAGCTCCGGTTACTCTGCTGTCCGCCGCTGGACCAAGAAAGTGGACATCTTTTCTGTAGACATCATTCTGGTGCCTGTCCACCTGGGGGTGCACTGGTGCCTGTCTGTAAGTAGCTAACCAGCACCAAGGTCACATTGAGGACATGTGCATGGAAGATGCATTGCATGTGGGCTGATGCTTTCTTTCCTGACATTCACAAGTACTTCAGAATAGTATTATGATACATTTCAATCAGTTTAATGAATGAATAATTCAAATAGGTTTGCTGTCAAGTCAGGATTGGCATATCTAATTTCTTCTTTTTTTGCCTTTCGAAAGGTGGTGGATCTTCGTAAGAAGAGCATCACTTACTTTGATTCAATGGGAGGAAACAACGACGAGGCCTGCAAGATTTTATTGTGAGTGCTGCTTGACGATTAGATGATGAAACGGGTCTGCAAGAAGTGCCTTTTTGAAATGAGTCCCATGATAACCCATTAAGAAATAAGCAGAATAAATTATGCATGACTAGACATTGTCAAAAGTGTCTTAATTGTGTCTCTGTATAACAGAAAATATCTGAAACAAGAAAGTGAAGACAAGAAGGGGCAGAACTTTGATACCTCAGAATGGACTCTAAAAAGTAAAAGAGCCAATGTGAGTTTCCCAACGTAAGAATAACTTAGGGCTTAAATTGACCAAGAAGCTTGAGGATCATCTCAAAGATTTTATTTGTCTTCCGAATCCTTAGGAGATTCCTCAGCAAATGAATGGAAGTGATTGCGGAATGTTCACATGCAAATATGCTGAATACATCACCAAAGACCGGCCAATCACATTCACACAGGTAAGCGTCAGTTGGATAGAGTTTGAAATAATCTATTGGTTTGTCACACTTGTATATGGATTTTTCATTTACTTTTCTGTCATTTCTGAAACAGAAACACATGCCTTATTTCAGAAGACGAATGGTATGGGAGATCCTGAACCAGAAACTGTTGTGATTGGATGATTCTTTTGTATAGAACTTATTTTGATGTGTCGTATGGATATGAGGGCTCCTGTGTGCTTCAGGAACCCTGAGTCAAATATGGGGATGCCCTTAATCACCAGTCATTTCTATGCTGTCTAAATGAAACTCGGGAAGTCCTCATGCACCTAAAGGACATAGTCTCAGCCTTTAAGAGTCAGGGCAATGGTTTTATGCCCCTTTATAATTCCCTATAACTTGACATGCTTTTGCTTTGCCAGCGAATGTTGTTTGACTGACAATGGAAGGATGTTATTTTCAATATTTTCTTGTGCTGCCATTCTTTTGCAATGGCTGTTAATATAAGGCCTGTCTTAAGATGACTTCAAATGATAATTTGTGTTAATTGGCATGGAGTGTGCTTGATCTCAAATCATCTGAAGTCATAAATGTTACAGTAATATGATCAGTTTTACACTGTCTTTTTACTCTAGGACTAGTAAAATATCTGGAATTGACAATCACGGACTCACTCAGTGGTTTTCTAATGAAAAACAGCAGTTTACTTAATATTTGTGACATTTGATACCTGTATGTTTTATACAGACACTGTCAATGTAATTAACCATGAAATTAATTTTATTTTAAATAAATAACTAAGACAAAAAGTCTTTTTTTTGGAGAGAGAATTTTTTTTCAGATTAAAGTGAGTTTTGTGGTTCTTTTTTTCCCTAGAGTTGATGAAAAGCTCTTGTGCTGCAATGCTTTTGACTTCAGTATGTTTTGGGATGGAACTCTGCCATCACAGGGATATGTTTATTTTTTTATCAGTATTTGGTGGCTTTTTGATAACTTGGGAGTCTTCTGATCATTTTGGCCAACTTATAGACAGACTGCACTTACATTTATTTGCTTTTTCACAACCCAGCAGTGTCATACATCTTGTTTTTCTGTTCTGTTCTTACTTGAGGTTACTCTGTTCTTCCTTTTGTGTGAGAGAATTTATTTTTGGCAAATGTTTCTATATTTTTTTCCTGCAGGATATTGACAATTATTGTATATACAGTGACCATATGGTAAAACGGAAGACATATTTAATACTCATTTTGTACCTTTTATTATCTGTTTTTGTATGTGGAACAGATCTTACTGGAAGTAAATTCCAGAGGTTATGTGTGTATCAGAGGATAAATGAAATAATTTCAAATGAATTATTGTTTGAGTCTTGTCTCTCAAGCTCATGTTGTCTTAAAGGTTTAGTTCACCCAAAAATTCTGTCATTAATTACCGGTACTCACCCTCATGTTGTTCGAAACCCGTAAGACGTTCGTTCATCTTCGGAACACAATTTAAGATATTTTTGATGAAATTTAAGGCATGGACAACAATACTCCGATTTTAATACGATTAGGACAATACTCTGATTAAGAATCTACCATGTAAACAGAGATTTTTGATTACCTTAATCCGGCTAAAGTCATAATCGAAGTAAACAGAAATCGAATTAAGACATGTGGAGTATTCCTATTTTAGTCGCATTACTGAAGTGCAGTAAAGACATGTACACACCTTAATCACATTATTACCGTCGTGTAGGACTTTTCGCCGCATTTTGCGACAGGATACACACACGGCAGTGCTCAACCGTTTGACGGCAAATAAAGAGCTTCAACACGGCCAGTATGCACGTACAAATAATTAACTGCACTTGAAGCTTTTATAAAATTAAAAATGAAACACCCACAACTTTATATGGCATCTGTAATGGGGCCGACGAGACGTGAGGCGTGAGGATCCATGTGCAAGCTTTATTTATAAACACGGTCAGAACACAGGCAGGGTCAAACAATGGCAAACAGGTATGGTACGGGCAAGACACAAGAATAATCCAAGAGCAGACGAGGGTCTCCGATCAGCAAACGACATTCAGAGGGCTAGACAGAGAGAGATAATCCAGGTACATGGTAATAGTCCAGGCAGGGGCAAACAGAGTCCAAACGACAAGACGAGAGAGAGATCCAAGGCAGGCTATAAACTTCAGGGCAGGTAGAGATCAGACAAGATGAGAAAACAGGCTAAGATCAAAACACGGGTAAACAGAATATGAACAAGACTAAACTAAACTCTAACTCAGGAAACACGGAATGGCTTGGTAAAGCAGCTAACACTAGGAGAGTGATAAATGCAGAACAATACTCGGCGACTTGAGCAGGATCTGGGTAGGTGTTATATAGTGTGTGTAATGGCTTTCAGGTGC